CGGTGCTCCAGGAGTCACTTGGTGTGTGCGGTGCTCCAGGAGTCACTCCAGGGAAGGGCTGAGGATGGTGCAGTGCAAATGAATGCACACACACATTCTCTACTTAGATTGTTCCCTCTTGATTTTCCTTGTGTTCCCTGACCTCTCTGTTCTTCTAGTGAGTAAGGTTGAAATACTAGAAAGAAATCATACTGAATGTTAAAGTGAGAGCTTTTAAAATCAATAGTGGTGAGATTAGTTAATAATGATAATTTTATTCTTTTACTAGGAATAGCACTGAGCCTGCGACTGTAGTTGTAGAGAAGCTACCACGTGTCCCCCCAGCTCAAGGGCTGTCTATTCCAGTCATTGGTGCAGGTAGGTGTCTAAACTTCAGTTGTTAACAGTTGTGCTACATAAGTATTTGATTACTAAAATTGTTCTTGTCCTTTTCAGAGGTTGATCCTACAGCGAAAGCTGCATCCTCCCCACCTGTATGTACCATTCCTACTGTAGTAGGACGTAACGTTATTCCGAGAGTCACAACACCTCACAACCCTGTCCAGGGACAACCACATCTAAATGGACTCTCTAATATAAGTAAGAATGTTACACCCAAAAGATCCCATTCGCCCCCTACAGATGGGACTTCAAAGAGGTTGAAAGACATAGAAAAGGTAAACTTATGACTTTAGTAGTAATTACTCATTGATTTTTTTTTTTAAAGTTAAAATAATAGTAAAGAAACTGACAGTTTTCCGTAACTATGTAAGTTTTCCACTGGGAGTTGTTCTGTTTGAAAAGAATATTTCAAAAACCTTTAGGAACAATATTTGTTCATCTTATATTCAAATTACTCATATCTGAAAGTTTGCTTGATTGTTTTAAGTTTCTTGACTTACATAAAAGTTAAGGAGACAAATATAATTGTGTAATTTTTTCTATTATATGGATCTTCTTAGCTTTCAGCAGATGATAACAAACTATTTTGTTAGAATCTGAATTGATTAAACCGAAAAGATTACTTAGGCTGCCGAAATTAAGGGTAGCAGTTGAGTTCAATATAATTTTAGTTGTAGTTAATTGAAGTCATTAAATTGTTGTCATTTTTGATGATCAATCAATTAGTCTCCCGTTTTATATTGATTTGTATGGTCTTTGCAGATATATAATAGCGATTCATTTTTATTGTTTATGCCTTAGTTTATTCGACTTGAGTCAGCATTTAAAGACTCCCGTGCTGCCGAGGATAGGAAAAGAAAACCAATGGTAAATATGTTAATACTGCACTCAGAATGTGAACTTAAAGAGCAAGAGACTATGAAAAGCACCATACAAAGTATTTTAGAGTCATCAGTTTTGGGTTATGATTTACTTTTAAGTAGGAATAAGTGTTGGAAATGGTAAGAAAATTTTAAATTGTGTTTTTAATTCTTTTATTTTTAGGATGCCATTGGTGGAGAATCTATGCCCATTCCAACTATTGATACATCACGGAAAAAGGTAATAGATAATAGGTAAAAAACAAGTAAAAAAAACTTAAGAAACTAAAACTACATCCAAGTATTTAGAAGACTGAGGCAGGAGGATTGCTTCAAGTTCAAAACTAGCCTAAGCAACAGAGTAAAACCATGTCTCAAAGAAAAAGAAAAACCTAGAGCCAGAAAGCAGTATGATTATGTCTCTGTTCTCAGAGAGCAGCAATGTGGCTGGGGTCAGGACTGGGGATGACAGATAGTGCATAGTTCTGAGTGGGCAGTGCTCAGGAGGCTAGGAGAGGACACAGTTCTGAGTGGGCACTGCTCAGGAGGCTAGGAGAGGACCCAGTTCTGAGTGGGCATTGCTCA